TACGAGTCTTTAGTCCTTACAACCAATTATTCGACGTATTCCCGTCAACTCGTATTGCATATACCTATTATAACGTGTCTATCATAACTTACCCCGTGTGTTATATATATATATATATATATATATTATCATAATGTTATACCTATAGGCATTAAACAAAACTAAAATTACAGGTTACCATTAGACATAAAAATGTAACAAACAATAATACACGTGTTCTATAAGTGCCCATAACACCTGTGTAAAGTTCGCACAGGGATATCTCATTTTTGCTGTTTAGACGGTGCTCACATATTATATTAGTCTATACCTATTCTCGTGTGAATGCAGCGTCCCTCCCCCTCCCATACGGCAGTTGGCAAAAGCGGCGTATACGACACGAAACGATAATTAATATACATAATAACAAAATTATAATTACATTACAATATCATTTCTGCAGGTTAAAAAGTTTAAAATAAAATCACCCCAATTCATCGTGAACAAGCAGCGACGGCGAGTTGACCTGCACTCGACCCTCATCGCTATCCCCCGCTGGCCCTTGGGCCCGCCACCACAACACACTAACGTGCTTACGACGTAAATTATTGCAAGTATACACCCGTTACCCCCTCCCCTCCCCCCTTCCACCATAGTAGTCTTACTGTTACAGTAGATAAAACCACACAGACATAAAATACGCGTTTACATATTATTATTATTATTATTATTATTATTATTGTTAGACGTTTTATATAGGCATATACGCAATACGTTTGCGTTAGGTATGTGTGTTCTGCGTATCTACCTCTATGAGCTGTAACTGCAATAATTATTAATGTGACGCCAAAATATTGACCGTTATCCCAGCGTGTCCTTTAAACCCACGTAATGCATATATAGTAATCGCATTTATACATAGATCGCGTTCGATATTTTAATCGTGCTTTATATTATTATAAGCGGACAGTAATGCATGTATACTATATGCGTATATGTACATTACGAACACAATATATAGCTCCCATAGTAGGGGCGTTCTCACGGGGTGGGATGATGGATGAGGGTGTCGTATATCCCCTCTTTGGCTTATTTTTGTCTATTGATTTTTCGTCATTTATTGATGAAATAATCAGTCGTGTTTTTAATGTCATATTTTTTTTAGGGATTTTTTTTCATTTTTCATATAGGTATTGTATCTAAGTTAATATTGTAAACAATAAAATATAATATTATATGATAAAGTAATAAAAACATATTTAACGCCATCGCGGGGTGATTTACGCCAAGATAGCAACTTGTTACTAATAAGTATAACAAATAAAACGTACACAAAATATGTACACATAACAAATATTCCTTTCACGATAATTACTTCCAAGTTAGGGAGGGGAGGGTACGAGGCATTTTTCGTTACACTGAAAGATGTTGAAAACAATTTGATTTAAAATATGAAAACATTTCTATAGCATCACTCTTTATACCATCACTATATTTAATAATATAATTTTTGTATTCAATAGATCCGCCTTCTATATAAGCCATAAGGCCACCAAGTCTCATGCTATGCCATTGCGTCACTAGATATACCTTTTAATTATGAAATTTATAAATATTATAATTATCTAGAACTTGCATGGCTACATTTAAACACAACTTGCAAAAATATACAATACATTATTTTTGTTTGACGTGGTTTAACAACAGTCAAAAATAGATTTCTCCTATTTTTCCTTTCAAAAAAGCTGAACACGCCACTGTGTGTTAGTGGTCCTAAAATTGGTGATGTTATCGAGATCTCTAGACCAGTGTTTCTCAGCCAGTGAGTTGCTGAATAAATCCAAAAGTGTCACAAAGTATATTATATCACATATAATTGTACATAAACATTTTTGACAGATTTCCAAAAACTAATAGGCTTTAATAATATATACATAGATACATTTTTTTGATGTAATTTCTATAATGATTAAAAAATAAGTTATCTCTCGTCGACGCATTTTACATATTTTATGGCATTACAAATTAAAATTAAATATTACCCATTACCTATTCTTTTTTTTTTTGTCGTTTGTCGTAAAGCATGAAATATTTTAATGGCGACACGCCATAATACGAATATTAAGAAACACTGCTCTATTTGAACTTGCGGTTAAATAACTAGGTACACCATATTATTAACATAGCATCGTATTATTCCAATTCTCGATACACAAATAAACTGTATTATGGTGTTTATTAAAAATAGTTATAGTCGTGTCGAGTCCGGTAGTTTATATTCACTGGTCTACTCTTCTCTCATTTCCGAAAATAGACAAAAATTCAAAACGTTTTGTCTGTGTATGAACCACCGCTATACCGTTGTTTGGTAGTCGTCAGGTATAAAAACGAACACTTGGATAAATTGATATGACTATTAAAAATCCCAAATCCAATTATTACAATATGCAATACAATTATATCTCATTTTAATATATGGTGTATAGTGTATACTATACACCACATAATACCATTATAATATACTAGCTGAAGCTGATCCTGGACGGCGATGGCTGTGAACAGTGTGAACCGTGACAAATTTAATGCCCGTGAATTAACTCTCACATCTTTCTAAGAAATAATAATATATTAGTTTCATTAAATTTATTTTAAAAGTAATTTAATTTTTATTTTTTAAAGAATTAATAAATGTACCTTTAATACTATATTATGTATCTAAAATCCAGTCGACAATCGGTTTCCATCTCTCAGATATTTTACAGATATTCTCAGACCAATGTATTTTGGGGTGAAAACAGGAATAGGTACTTAAGTATTATCTTACATAAAAATAACTTATTTAAATTTAATAGTTTATCTTTATAAATTATCAAGAGGACGCTACACCTGTATCTGTTGCCTCCGTCTTACATGTGAATAATATGGAAAATGTATGTGCAGCGGTTCACGTTTAGTTTTGTTAGCTTAAAAATTAAAGTGAATCGACTTATTATGAAATTTAATGGTAAAAAAATAAAGCATTATTATTTGTGTTCGTGAGTTGGTTTTTAAAGATAATTAAATTTTTTAGCGAGTTTTGCGTAGGTAACTATTAAAAAGTGTTATTTAAAAATGCTCATTACTCGTTAAAAAATTGAACTATCGTAAAAAACGTACGTACGAACACGAATAACATTTTTACCATTAAGTTTCATGATAGGTTGGATTCACCATAATTTTTAAACAAAGTTAAACGTGAACTGTTAAATGCAAATTTACCATGTTATGATGCACTTTAAGGACGAAAACAACAAACGCGGGTGAAGCATCTTCTTTAAAACTGCTAACTTTTACTAAAATATTTTTTATTACATTCTAAATAAAGCAGATATTTTCTACTTAAATAAAATTTGGTATGGGCAATTAAATATTAAAATATGCAGTTAGGTAGCCTACTACTTTGGAAGCGACATTAAACATAAAATTACTTTCCTGTAATAATCGTTATACATTTCTATGGTTGGCATTATTGATTTAAAAATATATTTTTTTCTCAACTTAAATTAAAATATTCAATAGTAGGTACAATATTGAAAAACAAGAATTAAATTCAAAAATTATTTATCAATAAATATTGTACAATGTTTCAACTTAAAGAATGATTAATTACTATATTATACTTTCATTGGTTTAATACAAGATTATGATTTTTTTGATTGTTGATCTTTTCCATATCAATAGTGTTCACTACGAGTAAACAAATAGTATTTCATCACAAAATTGTATACAAAGTCATTTCAAATTCTTAAATTATATTATATTATAATAATCATAATATTGTATCGTTAATAATGAAATCATTTTTAAAATAACAAATTAAGCATGAAACTTTTTTTCTACTAAATTAAGATCTAGTCATTTAAATTAAAATTTAATATTTTTATTACATTGTACCTATTATAGGATATACTTACAATTATATTGTTTATTTTGTTTATTGTCATCAGATAGCATTTCCTAAAATAAACTTCTTTAATTTGAATATATTCATTATATTTTATTATTAATAATTAAAATTATTATTGCAAATGATATAATTTTAAGTATATATACTTAAATATTATCTTATAAGTAATAAAGTTTGTTCATTTTATATTAATATTTTGTTTAAAGTAAAATAACCTTACAATAACAATAATACACATATTTGTTTTGGTTCTTCATTATAATATTTGTAAAATTCTTAGATTGTATTTAAATAAGAAATTATGACCTGTTGTTTAATGGCTCATTATATTGTAATAAATCGTAATTTGTGATTGTATCTACTGATCTAAAAATAGAATAAATTTGTTTAATAATTATAATATTAAAAAATCAGAAAATCATGTTATGTATAAGTGTAATCATCACATATTTATATAGTTGGATTTATTATTATCATAATATTGTGATTCATTATTACTTTTTGTAAATAATTTCAATAATTACATGGAAACTGTATTTCACATACACTGAAAGTATGGTAATATGAGTTAAATTGTAAAGCTTGTATAGTATTATGATACAAGGACAAAATTAAAAGTATTATGTCTTATTACTGTCATCAATTTTCTGGAGAGTAAATCTTTCAATATTGATAATTGATCAAAAAAATTATTATTATTTATTTTTTTTTTTCTATATGTGATCATATAGCTATTCTATTGTTTAGTTCAACTAATATAATTATTGAAATAAAATTATTTAACTTATAATTTTTAAAAAAAAAATACAAAATATATATTATAAATATTAACAGTTTAAGAAATTATCATCACTATTGGGTATTTACTTAACACTTATACTACTTTAAGTAAAAAATAAAGTAATATTTATTTAGGTATTCAGATAACATATTAAAAAAGAACAAATTTGAAATTTAAATAATATAAATCTATAATTTTTGCTCCGAAAAAATTAATATATTTCTTGTTAAAGGACTATTTTTTATAAATAATTCACATAAATTAATTTGGAAAAAATATAAAATAAAATAAAAATAAAATTACAAAACAATTTTATTAGCTAATGAACAAGACAATCCGGTGTTATCTGGCTCAACATTTAATTGTTCCACTTTACCATTTTTGATTAGCATTGAGTATCTCTTAGAACGGGTGCCGCCTAATGGTGGCAAATCAATGGCCAAATCAAAAGCCTTTGTGAGTTCTGCATTGGGATCAGCTAATAATCGTACCTAAAATAAATGTATTACAAAATCGTTAGTTCTATAAATATTCTAACAATAATATGATACTAATGGGGTTCTAATGTTAATTCTTGATTATTTTTAAGATGCTTTTCAATAATTTCTTTGTATTAAAAATTCAAAATGTATGAGGTAAAAACTAAAGATAACATATTGCCATTTATTTCCAAAGTGTACTTTTTTTTTTTTATAATAATTACCCAGGGCAACCTTAAATAAATTATATTTTCAACAAAGTAACTTTTGTTATAATCAAACTATAGTTTATACATTATATATGTAGAGGTGAATGGAATAATCAATATACTACCTAACCCTTAAATTTAATCATTAAATGTAACTAGTATAAATAATAAATGATCTACACTCTAAATTAATAAAATGAATAATAGAGTTTGTAGTTATAAAATATGTTTATTTTTAAACATGAATATGAATTATTTACAACAATTTTAATGATATGTATTGGTTTTAGCAATTATATTTAAGTATAAAGGTCAAACTTTAATCAGATTTGGTAATCAATAAAGCCATATTTTAAAAACCATGTATAAGCAAAGTATATTTCGATATTATAAAACATAAATTAATGGAAATTTTAAATTTAATTTTATTAATATCTTAATTTTTAAGTTATGTATTATTTAAAACTATTAATCTGAATGTAAACACAGCCAGGAAAATAATAATTTATTATTCAATTTAAATTAAAATATTAATTTGTACTCGGTTAGTCTTTGCCTTCAGTCATTTAATTATTTAGTAATAAATTAATATTAATTTACAAATTTACAAAATTGAGTTTTAAAACATTTTTGTTTAAATTGATAATATTACTTAATTAAAGTATAATTTAAAAATATTTTTAAATAAAAATATAATATTAAATTAAAAATAAGATGTATATTTAGTAAAATAATATTATAATATTAATAGAAATTTTAAAAATTACTTTTCCTTCAGCTTTTTGATCTTGACCCCAAGCTGCCATTACAAAGGCATCATTCACAGAAACGCAGACAATTTCATCTACACCTTTACTTTTGAGATCTGCAGCAGTGTTTATATAACCAGGCAAATGAGTCTAAATACATTTAATTAAATGATTAATAGGTAATAAATATTATATATAAATAGAATATACAGTAAAACCTCTCTATAACGGAATCGTTTGGAACCAACATTTTTTCCGTTATAAAGAGTTTTCTTCATAGAGAGGTAGACAATTATATATTATTTACACCGGAACTATTGACATTTTTTGTTATAATGAGGATTCCATTTAATAGAGGGTCGTTATAGAGAAGTTTTACTGTAGTTAAAAAAATGTAAGTATTTACCTTCGAGCAGCCTGGAGTGAATGCTCCAGGAACAGCAAAAAGTACAACAGTTTTTCCATTGCACAGTTCCGATATATTAACTTTGTTGGCAGGTGTGTTTTCGAACAGGTCTACGTTTGGCACGGTATCTCCAACCTGTCAAAATTAAACATTATAAGAATCAAAATATAAAAATCCTTAAATAATTTAAATTCGTCTTACTTTAACTGGCATCTTGGAGTTTAAGCTAATGCTTATTAGACGTTTGGTGACTGTACTGAGAAGGGTGGACGGGACTGCACTCACCGTCTTCTGTAATGCGCCAATATAACAAAACATGGTTCAAAATAAGCTCGGTATAATTATGTATGAGATAAATGATCCGTAAATAAGCTTAACGCAGTTATTTATTATTAAGTATATAAAATTTATGTGTGTATGTGTGTATGTACTTTACCGTTCAATGAAAATGATTTATATTTTTAAAATGTAAATGATTGACTGATGATCGGTAGGGATAGCAGACGAACACAAATGATGAGTTTTGACTATTGAGTAAGTTCAAACTATGGCGATCGGTGAACTACGAATGTCAAGTCCTCTGTCCTAAGTCCCACTACTGCCACTGCCATCTGTCAAGGCCAACGTAAAGTGATAATACTGATAATCGTTGCCCGCAGGCCGGCGGAAACTGACTGCACTGATCGGTGGTTGGGTGACGGGTGTTGGTCAGGTCTGGTGCATAGATAATGGCGCGAACGCAAACTGTACAATACACATTACATATTAATAATGTAAATTCGTAAATCTTTAAACTTTTGTCGAGTAATACTTTATTATGGTCAACCGTGTCCGTGTGTAGATACAAAATATGATAATTTATTGATATATTAGGTATGGGCGCCATTTGTACAGTATTATATAGTTTATTATTGTACAGCAAAAATGTCATTATTTCTTAACGGGTTAAACGTCGTAAACCCAAAGGCGGGTTCACAGCAACGCCGTTCGTTGTATCGTATTCATAATTTACCGTAAACTGGATTCAACTCAACTTTTGGACACGACAGACGAAAACGTGAACCCGGCTTAATACTTCTATACGGTGAATGCAAGGGGGCACACTTCTCGGATCGGGAAAAAAGCCTATCGGCGACTGGATCGGTTGATGTTCGATAATGACTTGACAAAATTAATTTTTTTTATAAATTTTATCGCGAGTGTCGGATATAAAATAAATGCTTTCTTTAAAGCATTATATTCATCGTTCATACTGTTCATAGTGTTTATGCCTCTAATCTCAATTAGGTTTCGAAAATTCGAACTTTCAAATTCAAACGTATAATAGTACACAATACACACATCAATATCAAACATGGCGGTGCGGCGGCTGAGTCGGCACCAATGAAAATATCGCAATCGACATTACCACGCAAACGTGGTAGTTGTCGGCACCGGTATCAGTAGACCATGGTTGCCGGTTTCCCGATTACCAGATTTCTTTTAGGTTGGCTACTGCCTAGTGCCTACTGCTTACAAATTACGATACTTCGTGACTTGTATCATACTATCATCTGTAAGCATTTTAATTTTAACATTTTAATTTTTTAACACATAATTAAATGATTAAATGTCTGTACGGGATTACAGCATCTTCTTTGTCGTGTTTTAGAATTTACAGCATCACATAACAATATTTTGACTTTACTATGATGAAATTTCTAGACTAAAAATAATTATTCTAATGTATAGTTACAATGTCAATCACAAAAGTGGATATTTTATGAATTCGTCTTAATCAACCACCTCGGTTCATGATCATGATAATGCCGCTTTATCACTACACAGTATACAGGCACTTCGCACATGGCATTATATAGTATACACTATACAATGATATAGATTTTAAAATATAAAGATAATTTTAAGATATGAATTCAGAGTTTTTGAATTTGTGTTAAATTCAATTTTGACTTTAGCCTATTCGTCGTGATTTTAATAAAATAACGTAATTCTGTGTTAAAATAATTTCTTAAATCAACAAAGTCATAATTAATCAAAATTTTCCTGTACTACCGATTTTGCTTTTTGTTAATTATTTTAAATTTTTTTAACAATATAATTTAATAGTCTAGTTTGTGTGGAAAAATGAAGAAAAATAGAAACTCAATGGTGATATATATTAAAATTTACAAATAATAATTATTATGCATTTTATAGCCCCGTGTAGATGTATTTTTTGTACATCAAGAATAATTACTTTTCTTTAGATTTTAGTATAAATAAAAACAATTTTACAGTACCATTGATTAATACTACCTGATAATTAATAGTGGCATTAATAATAGTTATTTAGTGTGTCTTCTTCAATATTTAACTGTCAACCATAATAGTGGTTTCATAAAAAAGAAAAAAATATGTGTGTAAGGTTTTAATGAAACATTATTGACATTGATGCTCAATATAACACTCCACAAAACACCAGTTGAGAAATAATAGTTAATAAGATAATGAATCATAGTGAGGAATTGTAGATATAGTAGTAGTAATAATACCAAAAGACCTGTGATACCTAATAATAAAAAAAAATAAAATACTATAATACCTATTCTAGGTATTATAAATAATAACATTAATTTTGAGTATTTTAAATTAAAAATTTAATTATATTTAAACAGTAAATCCAAATGTATTGAAAGATATACCATAATTTTTGAGAAATCGGGTTGACCTAAGAAATATTGAATTTTTGTGTTGACAGTAATATATTTTTGTTATCTACTTACAGAAAAACAAATCTAAGAAAAGTGAAAACCAAACAGATACAGAAGCTATTAAGAAAAAAAAACTGACTAGTAGACAAAGAAAAGCACTTACTAAAATTATAGAAAAAAAACAAAAGAGCCAAAAGGTGATATATTTTGTAGTTATTATTAACATTACCTATTAGACTATACATTTTGTTTTATTATTTTTAAATTAATTTTTAGAGATCTGAAATGTTAAACGAATTGAAGAGTCTTGAACTTTCAGCACCTTCATTGTCTTTGATGACATCCATAAGTCAAACTCAAACAAGTGGATTGAGAAACGCTTTGAGGCAAAAAGTAAAAATATTATACAATTATTTTAATTTTATATTATGTAATATTCAATTTAAAACAAACTGTGATAAAAAAATTTATAATTTTAGAAAAAAAGTCAAACAGTTAAGCCTATTGAAGAAAATAGGAGCTCAGATGAGATGACGGTTGATGAAGATATTGGTTCAGAAATTGACGAGGATGAAATTGTACAATAGTTTATTTATATTACTTAAAATCACATTCACCAGAAAGTCTGTAATTATTAATTTTATAATGGTGGCCATATTGATTTTACTTCTTTATGAGCTGATTGTGGTAACCATGTTAAATATTCTTCCAACAGATCTGTAAAAACGAAATAAAGATTGTTGTTAACATCAGACAATTTTATTATTTAATCAATAAAAATTTACATGTTGGCTTTTTTAACCAATGTTCTTTAATTTTTTTTGCTGAATCATCGTGATTTTTGATTAATGATTGTGTGAGCAAATAAAATGATTCTTTTAAGCTAAAAAATAAAATAAAACATAAAATAACATAATTGTTCATATAAAACAGAGTATGTACTTACAATTTTAACCAAGGTTTTACTATGAGATCAGGTTCTGACAACAGATGTTGCCTAAAATCTTGCAACTGTGGAAAAACTTTTCCGCTCAGTATAAAAAAAGCTAACCAACAATATTTTTGTTCAATATTAGGAAATTCAATCTCAGCTTGTGGTAATGACCATCCAGCTTGACCTGAATAAAATGTAATTTTGACTATTAGATTACAGTGTTCAAGAAAAAAAAATAGTAAAATAAATTACCATAAGTTGCATTAACTGTACAGAACATTTTCTCAGTTTCTTCATCATACCTTGGTGTAGGATCATCTAATACTTTTAATGTCTTACATAAACTACTAGCATACACAGGTAACCATTCTGGTTCAATTGCAGTAAGGCCTTAATGAATGAATTGTTATAAAACAATAAATGTTTAATATCATTTTGTACATTAAGATTTGCAGTTAAAAAAATAAAACTAATTGAACTAATGTAAATATCATTATTATTTATATACCTTTAATATACATTTTGTCTTGTACTTCAAATATCTCCTGGTAAACTAACCATTCTGGTTTACTCTTCTTTAAAACACTACTGTTATGTATGTATACTATTGCTGTTAAATTAGATGCGTAATAAGCAGCCTTATTTGGCCTTATGCCATTTCTATTTAATTCATTTGTAGTTAGTCGCCTTGCAACTCTATCCAGCATACCAGCTAATACGATTTGTCTTATTTGTTTCACCTACAAACAATATTTTTTGTATTATATTAAGACTAGAACAATTCATAATCTGTCATACTTGTATTGGTGTTGGTGGTGTCATATCTAAATCAGTATTTAATTTTAAAGATGGCACATTTATGTTGAGTTGATTAATTAATTGATTATTCAATTTCCAAGCTTCTAAAATTGATTTTTGATGTAATCCTGTTTTGATGCAATAATCTTGTAGACCTCCTAATCCTGATTTTTTCATTGCATGACTCGCGCCACCCATAGATCGTAGTATCACCATTATATCACCTAGATATTAAAAAAAAAAAAATACAATATTGATATTTTATATTTTTATGCAAATAAATGTAACATAATAATGTTAATTATAAATTTTTAATTCAATTTTTCAATCCTATTACTTGTAATAATAAATAAAAAATGTTAATATTTAAATAGAAAATAATCAAGAGAAGTAAAACTTACAAAAAAAATTATTTTATTAATAAAAATTTGTATAAATGTGTTGTTTATAGTTTTTTACCTAAGAGTAAAAATTCTCCTTTGTTTGCCCATGAAAGTTTGGTTTTTTTCCAAGCTTCAATATTGTCGCCAGGTAAATATTCTTGAACAGACATAGCAGAAATTATGAACAGCATATACTGTAACAAACTACGGTCTTTACTCAAACACAGCATTTTGGCATAGTGAGGAGATAATGGAAAAGCAGCCATACTCTTTCCCAGAGGTGTGATATTGTTGATTTCTAAACATGTTTTTAAATAATCACTTATTTAATAGTTTAATATTATATTATAGTTTACCAATGACATTTTTGTCAGCTTCTAAAGCACCGAGTGTAATTAATCGTTTTTCTGCTCCTAAAATTGTCTGTTTATCTGGTGGTGTAGGAAATGGAAAACTAGTAATTTTATCAATTTTCATTGATTTCATTTGTAAAATAACATTGTCAATAGGAGTGGTTTGAATTTCAGGTAAATTCCATTCAGGAAATTCGTCATTGAATAAAGCAGATGAAAATAAACTATAAGATAAAAACAAAGAATATGTAAAACAAAATTTTTATTATAACAAAATAATACTGTAATAAAAACTGTACACTTACCGATAACAGTGTCCAGGTGAAGTTCTTCCAGCTCTACCAGCTCTTTGATTTGCTGAAGCTTTACTTTCCCAAACAACCGAAAATCTTGAAACACTAGTCAATGGATCATATTCTCGAATTTTAGTTTTTCCACAGTCAACTACATACTTGACATTAGGTATAGTTAAAGAGAGTTCTGCTACATTTGTACTTACAACACACATACGACAACCCGGAGGAGGTGGTTCAAATATCTAAAAGTATAAAAGATTTAATGTTAAAATGATCTTAGATTTATTATGTATAATAACCAATAAGTAAATTAACCTTTGATTGTTTATGGGCAGGTAACATTGAATAAAGAGGAAGTACCCATAGTGGTAATGAATTGATTTTCATGATTTTACTTGGCACTTCATCATCATCATCTTCATCATTACTTGAGTTATCCGAAAGAATTAACTCATCTTCTGAATGCATTTCAATATCATAATCATCTAAATTAATATCAGGCAAAGGTTTTCCAATTTCTTTTTTTATTTTGGGCTTACATTTGGTATTTACACTTATTTTAGAATCTGTTTCTTGATATGGAAATGCTTTACGAAGCTTTGATACCAATTGTTTTACTTCTAATTTACCTGTAAATAAATATTTTTTTTTTAACTTAATTAATAATATTAAATTTTAATAGCAAATAAAGAAACAAATACAGTCAGTTTAGTACTTCAGCTTTTATTTCTAAAATATGGTTTTTGAAGCTGAAATTTTTGGTATTTCAAACTTTTTTAATCTTATGAGTTAAATCTAAAATTACCAAGTTCAAATGAAAATCAGAGTAAGAAGAAAATTTGTTTTTGAGAAATAAATTTCATATCATGATGAAAAGTTTTTACATAATGTATTTTTTTGGTTATAGACTATTTTAATCTAAATATTGGAACATTTACTTATGTGATTTTAAAACTCAATCTAAAATATTCTTAAATTTGCATAAAAAAACCATTTAGACAATGTATGAACAATTTTTTTTTTATAGATAAAAATAATCTACATAAAAAAAAAAATCTAATTACATTGTCGTGGTACTCAACTGTGTTAATAACCAAATAATATACAAAGAAATACCAGTTAGAAACACTAAAATAGCTCCAGCTGGTAAATTGGAATGAATTTTACAGATTTTATTGTAAGCTTCAGCTAAATAATCATGTGGAGTTTTCTTGTTGAAGTGAATTGTCACTGGAAACTGTCTTGAGCTCAGCTACATTAACATTTTCAAAATATTTAATATTAAAATGTTTATTTAACAAATTGTTATTTTTTATTTTTTTATTATTTACTTCAATAATAGGCGGTGGTTGGGGAAAAAGTTTTTGGTTTTTTGAAAAATCATCAACTTTAAGAGTAGCAGACATAATGATTAACTTTAAGGGACTAGATCTTTTTTGACGCAGGCGAACAATACGAGATAAGATGCCAATCAGTATATCAGAAAACACTCGTCTTTCGTGAGCCTCATCTAATATGATTGCTGAATAATTCTTAAGCAAAAAATCCTAAAAATAAACAAAATCATATTAATTTTTTTACTACTTTAATACATTAAACATTCAAATTTACGTTTTGGATCTCTTTCAACAATACACCATCAGTCATAAACTTTATTTTTGTATTAGGTCCTGCATTTCCTTCAAAACGTATTAAATATGACACAATATCGGATGTTTCATTTAATTCTTCTGCTACTCGTTGAGATACAGATATTGCAGCAATACGTCTAGGTTCTGTGACACCAATCATTTTATTTCCACTAAAATTAACAAATAATACATATTTATATTAGTTAATTGATTTATTAATGATTGAGTTACGTTAAATCTATTTGATTATACATTATTTACAAAATATAAAGTATTGAATTATATTTGTCAAATAAGTGTGTTTACTTTGAGTAGCCTGCTTCATATAAAAATTGAGGCACTTGTGTAGTTTTTCCACTACCAGTCTCACCAACAACAATAATGACATCATTTTCACTGATTGCTTCCATAATGACTTGTTCTTCACCAATAATCGGTAACTTTGAACGTGATTTTATAATTTCTGATGTTCGATTGATCGGTACTGGCTGTTTTTTAACAGCAGAATTTAATTTGTCACTCATAATGACTTATTTTTGAAAAATATACGATCGATTTAATGATTAAATAGTGTAAAATAAATCAAAATGTAAACCATGACAAAATAAATGTGAAGAAAATGAAAAATTTAAATTATTTGAATTTCTCACGTGGTGGTAATGTTTATTTTTTGTGGTTCAGCAATACGTGATAACTGATAAGAAAATTTGATATGCAACAATGATAGAAAAAAAATGATATAGTAACTGATATCCATCGCAGAATAGGAGAAATTTACCATTTGGTAATTATTGTTATGCTGACTGTTGACTAGTTAATCCCACGTCATCGAGACCCTGTTAACCAATAATCATTCTGATGAGATTTTATACCAGATCTAAGTCATTCAAATTTCGAGAAAAATGGTACTTAGTCGTTTAAATCCACCGACATTTATAGGTCCAAGGGCGCCCATATAGGGTGAAACTTCTGTTTAAGGAAAGTAGGACAAATGTGTAACCTCCTTCCACTACGGACATAAATCCAAAATATGTATCTGCAGACTGCAAAAATGTAATCTTAATATTAAATTATAACTAGGGTTCGGAAATTGTAGGAATTACATATTGTTCTGTATCGTGTATATTCTTAATTTATAACAGACCAAGTTAGAAATCTGACTATACAATGGAGAGTTAAAAAATTAAAAATGCATAAATTGCATATTTTGTCAATTCTAACTAAAAAAAAGGTGCATATTTCATTGATTTTATACGTATATTATGTATATTTCACTGATTTTATGCGTATATTATCCATATTTCATATTTTTCTTAAAAAATGAATTTTTTGATTTTTTAATCTGTACTTTTATTTCAATTA